TTTTCCTTTTTCATATCTCCAAATCTAACTACAAGCTAAAAAGATAAAAGAGGAAAAATATATTAAAAAGAAGGTGAAAAGGAGAAAAAAGATAATGATATTGAAAAAAGAAAATAGAGAGATGTGATATGAATTTAAATTGAAGATGAATTAGTGAGAGTTATGAAAGAGTAAAAGGATTTGGAAAATGTGAATAAAGAAAGAGGGGGAACATGAGAAAAAATGTGTGTATGAGTGAGAGAAAGAGTTTAAAATAAATTAAAAGAGAGAATACAAATTATTTATGCTGATGTTTTTTTTTAAAAGCTAAACTATATTATGCAATTATGCTAATGCAATTAATCATGCAAGAGAAAACATATTTAAAAAGAAGGTGCCGATGAAGATTTTTCATGCAATTGTGAATAATAAAACAATAATAATTTGAATTGAGACTTTTGTAAAGTTGGCGACGAGGTAGTATGTAAATGAAAGAAGGACATTTGAGACTTTTCTTAAATATAGTTTGTTCTTGTATGAAACTCCATCTGTTTTAAAATGATTCTCGTTTTAGGAAAAATGTTTTGTTTCAAAATGAATGTTATTCTCCCTTTTTAATATAGTAATAATTGATATTTTTCTAATTGTGTCATATAATTATTATTCTGTACATTATTTCTAACACATTAATAAGACTAATTTATTAAAAATATAATATTTTATGACAATATTATTGAATTTCTTAATTTGTGTGAAAAAACCTTAAACGAAAGTCATTTTACAACATACAAAATAGATCATTTTGAATTAAATGCAACTATATTTTTTAATTTAAACTCAAAAGTTAATGATAAACAAGATATGAAAAATAAAATTGTTATATGGTGAATGATTCCTAACCAACTAAAGGAATACTTTTATGGCCCCAATTATAGGAAGAATCTAAGCGACACTCTTACATCTAATTTCACACCTCTACGTAACCAACAATCATAATACTCATAAATCATAAAAATCAATTTTTACAATTAAAATTATTTATTTTGATTTTTTTCTTCTTAAAAACAGTATTTTGACTCGGAGATTTGGATTTTTACCAATAGGAATTTCCCTTCAACTTTATGTGTTTTTATATAATTTATTTTTGCTATTATATCAGATATTATTGAAATATTTGGAATTAAATTATATCGGATTTTTAATAATATTTGATATAAACCAATTTTTTGAATATATTTTTACCGCTTTTTTTTTTATAAAATTCGGCATTATTACTGTTCTGGCCTGGGCCCAGCCTCGCGGCCCAGCCTAATAACGCACAAGGCCCAATGAGTTGAGTAGCCTGGTCGGGCACACGCCCCCCACCAGACGGGCAAGACATACTCCCTGCCAAGCAGGACGGCGCGCTTCTGAGCGTCCTCGGCGCTCCCCCTAGCCGGACAGAACAGCCTCCACGGGCAGAATCCCCACTGCCAACGGGCAGGACAATATGTCTCCCCCGCTCTCGTGTGCTTCCCCCACGGGGAGAACCACACACCGCCGGGGAACCTCCTGAGCTCCCCTCCACGGGGAGAACAACGTGCTCTCAGGGAATCCCACGAGCTTCCCTCCGCGGGGAGAACAACGTGCCAGACACACGTTCTCCACGTGCTCCCCTCCGCGGGGACACATCATCCCCCAACTGTCCACCTCCGAAAGAGCAGGTCAAACCCACTTTCCGGAGACCACAGGACAGTTGGACTAGGGCGAAGACCACGTCTCGGTCTTCATTACGCCACGTAAGCCCTAACAGTCACCTGGGTTGCACCTGACCATCCAGCCCAACACAAGTGACCATTGGTCCAGCGCTGGGGTCTCTCTATAAATACCCTCTTCCTCAAGAGGGTCAGGTAATTCACATTTTGCCCTTTCTGTACTTTGCTCTCACTCTGCCCAACTGCTTACTTTGGCATCAGAGTGTCTTGCATGTACACCCCCCTTTCTCCTCCTCATCACCGGTGAACAGGTAGCAGTCCAACAGAGTGTGGCCAGCTCGTGAACCCCTTCTGATCAGGTCAGATCAATTACTACAAGTTTTTTTACTGAAGTTTTATAAATCATAGATAAAAGTGCATACTGAATACTAGATTTTTATAAATTGACGGTAAAATTGCATCCTGCATACTAGATTTTTTTAAATTTTCAATAAGATTATAATTTTGGTTACCAAAATTTTAAAAGTGCGTAATACGTAGGGGTGTAACTGATTTTTTATTTATTATAAATTTGGTAGGGCAATAGTGTTTTTTAATTTTATATATATATATATATATATATATATATATATATATATATATATATATATATATATATATATATATATATATATATATATATATATATATATATATATATATATATATATATATATATATATTGTGTTTATGAGGAGTATTCTATGTATGAGGTGGCATCTAAGGTATATACATGTTACATCTTGTTGGATGTACTATTTTAGTGGATAAATTTCTTGTATACATCGATGCCAAGCACATATCTTTATTTGTTGATTTTGAGTCTCTCCATTGGGCAGTGGATTGTACTGCTATGACAATGCTATATAATAATACTAGTGCCTTTGAGATGAGATGGTTTGCCAATTACGTTACTTTAGGTATTAATATTCATTATATTTTATTTATTTCGTGAGTATTTATTAAAGACATTTAATATATCTAATTCATTATCTACAAATATATTTTAATGCAGTGTTGGATATACGAGTATTTCCCGTCCATTTATGACAGGCGTAATCCTGGTCCTATCACAAATAACTCCTCACAGGCCACCATATAGAGCTCGAGACATTCTTATATAGGCGGTATTCTAGAATACAAATAGATGATTAATGTCCTGACCCTGTATGATGTCAAATAAACACCTTATGAAGATCATAGAGTGCATTGAGAGTTTGATGAAACTGCCATTTTTTTAAATAATTTGTAATTAGATAATGTTATTATTGCATATTTACTTGAAAGGTGTCTGTGCCAATTTGGATATGTTTAGAGCATTCCTAGATCAATCCTTATTATACCATTTAGGGACATTGATAAATGGTTTAGGTTTAAGATTGTGAGCAGTGCCCATACTATTAAAGAAAATGTAACAGGGTACATTTCCCTATACAAGATAACATGTCACTAATTAAATACAGAAAAAATTAAAACAAAAAATCACTTAGACATGTCTCATCACCAAAACTGAAGATCTAATGTTTAAGTTATCAACTAAAATGTCAGATTAAAAAGATACTTACGTTACAAATGAAGATAAAAAGAAATATTACATAGAAACCAAAACTCTCTCATATTTAACCATAATTTTTATTATTTTAAATAAAATATTTAAATTTAAGATTTTTTTTTATTTTTATAAAAGATCTATAATAAACCTACTTTTAATTCTTCCATTCAAACTTAAACTTTATAAGATATCATAAAAATGGAAACAAATTTTGAATGGAGTAATTCCATTACAATGCCACTAAATCATCTTTGTTATGAATATTATTGAGTGTATCAATAAGGCAATACAAATCGACAATTTTCTTTTATTATATTAAGAATTTATTTTAAATTAAAACATTTTTAACTTTTAAAATTTTAAATATTGTAAAAAAATCAGAAACTTGTTTCTTTTTTCCCATACGAACATTAAAATAATTTAAAACATGATTAATAATACAAAGATAGTAAATATATTAATACTTATTTTATCTTTAAAAAATTGACTTATTTGTAAAAAATATCTTATTTCAAAATAAATAATCTTTTCAATTTTTTAAAGATTGAGACAGGAATACGTTAATTACTCTACTCCTAAACCAAATTCATAATCCCGAAAAAAATGGGACAAGGTCGCCACGTGTCAGAATGTAGATTTAGGGAGCAAAGTAGATTATACCACTGGATTCCCTCCAATAATATAATAATATAATTAATAAGAATAATAAATTATGGTTCGCTTTCTGCAACGTTATTATTTACTAAAATAAGATTTTTTAACATAAAAAAGGCTGGATCCGATTCATGCCACGCCATTCCGGTTACTAATTTCCTATACACGGCGGTGTTGGTGGCGGAACTTCTTCGGCTTTTCACCGGAGCTTGCCCCGCCTCCTTCATCTCCTTAGCTTCTTACATCGTTGCATTTAATTAATTACCCAGAAACTGCGTGTTTTTCGGCACCTGTTTCTTCGATTTGGGGATTCCTGTTGTTTATGGATCCGGGTTCTAGAAGCTTCATTTCTTGCTGTTTTGGTTTGCTTCCGGTGATTTGACTTTGTTAGCTGATTTTGTTCGATTGATGGTTTTGCAGGTGCTGGTTCGTTTTATTACCTTAATTTTGAAGATAATTGTTTATGATGATTTTTTCTGCATTTTTGGTGATTATTATTGGAAATTGTAGATCCTTTGAGACCATGGTGTATGAAAATTGTTGCAACTCTTGATATATAAAGTACAGACTTCTAGCTTTCTGAAAAAAATTATATTTTGTGGGAGGGAGAAGATGAATTAGGTTATTTACTTGTTATTTTGTTGCTGTGTTGAAAAATGTGTTAATTTTGTTGCGCAAAATGTGAACTTTGCATAAAGTTAGGTTTTTGTGATGAGGGTAAACCTTTTGTAATAATGGATTATGAATGTGAACCAATTTTGTTGTTGTATTTTATTTTATTTTTTTGATGTGAATGTCGGGTTAAATTTTTTGTTTTTTTGTGGAATTGTGTAGTTAGTGTTTCAATGCATTGAATCTAGAGATATGTCTTTATCCAGTGTATCTGTGTCTAGAGCAACTTTCTGTTTGTAGTTATCTACAATATCAGCATGTGTATAGGTATTAACAACAGAAAAGTTGGAGTAGTTTACATTATCATAAGTTAAGCATATTTTCTCATTTTCAGAGCGGAGAATGATCTTGGATCTGTTTTGATGTTCGCAGATTTTGTGGTGGAAGTAAAATTGGTATGCTGAGCAAAAATGTCGTTGAGAAGTATAGTAAGGGAACTCAAAGAAATGAGGGATGGGATTGGTAACACGTCAAGGCGAAGTGCAGGAAGTAGGCATTCACAGCGTCGGACTAAGTCACACATTGTTCCTGATATCACTCTAACATCACTTGAACCTATTCAGCAGGGACAATGGGCAAATATACCATCTGAATTGCTTCTTGATATAATTCGGAGGGTAGAAGAGACCGAGACTTCTTGGCCTGCACGTGCTGTTGTTGTTTCTTGTGCTTCTGTGTGTAAATCATGGAGGGCCGTTACAAAAGAGATTGTCCAGACTCCCGAGCAGTGTGGAAGGTTGACATTTCCTATTTCATTAAAGCAGGTGATTAATTCTTCACTCCTTTTTTGGCCGAGTTACTTTTTGCATTTCCATTTAGGTTGTTCCGCATCTTATGTTCTCTACTTTTTGTGTATGAATAGCCGGGTCCTCGCGATTCTCCGATTCAGTGCTTCATCAGGAGGGACCGAGAAACTTCTACATATCTATTGTACTATGGATTGGTGCCATGTAAGTTTGCTCCAATGCTGATGATGTTGCAGATTTACTCAATTTCTTTAATTCTTTTTTCTAACAGGGTGTCATCTTGTATTAGAAACATTCTTGAAAACTTGGAATTAAGGAATTTAGATCATGAACTGCAATTTTTCTTGCACTAAATATGTAGCATTTTTCATATATTAATTATTACACAGTGATCACGTCATCATTTTGAAAACTGTTCTCAAATTAATGACATGGTTGTTATTCACACATGTGCACGCTTGTAATATATTCAAAATTCTAAACACTAATAAATATACAAAATATATATTTTTTAATGTAATACTAAATTGTACTGTAAATTCTATGGTGTAGTCCAAGCTAGACCGATACTTGAAAGTTGTTTGCAACTGTAATGCGATTGACATTGCCTCAGTTGAGAAACTACTTGTTCAATGTTGATTCGATAAAAAAAGGAGCTGGAAGTATGGGTTCCTCAACTCAACTCATTTGTTGTCCCTTATTTTTGTCAAACTAGTGATAGTTGTTGTTGGGGAGGTTTGGGTGATTTAATGTGCTGGTCTACTCTAAAGGCTGCCAAATTTTAAATGCATAAATATGAACTTTTCATCTTTCAATGACAAATTAGAAATGCATTTCTTTGGAGTCATAATAAAACTATATAATGCGTCATAGAAGACTACGAAAAGATGTTCTTTTTCATTGTGGTCTAGTTCCAGTTTCAACTGTGTGAGTTGACAACTTTTTGTTTTTGAAGTTCTCAAAGGCTATTTGAATGGAACAGAAATTGGCTAAACCTATGGATACACCTCAGCCCATTTGTGCTTTGTTTTTCTCTGTTCAATTCATCTTGATGAATTATATGGATTGAACTCTTGAGACTGATATTTTGCGAAACTGGTTTTCTTTTGTTTTTTCTTATACAGCTGAAAATGAGACTGATAAGCTGCTATTAGCTGCCAAAAAGATAAGGAGGGCAACAGGCACAGACTTCATCATATCTTTGGTTGCCGATGATTTTTCTCGGTCCAGCAATGCCTATGTTGGAAAACTCAGGCATGTTTTGGTTGATAGAAATTGTACTTGCCCACTTTTCAAATTTCCACCTTGCTCTTATTTCCATCTCTAACATGTGATAAATTAACAGGTCTAATTTTTTGGGCACCAAGTTCACTATATATGACAGCCAACCTCCACATGGAGCTGGAATTCAACCAAATAGTCGGTCCAGTAGGAGATTTCATTCTAAGCAGGTATCTCCAAGAGTTCCCGCATGTAACTATATTGTTAGCACCATTGCCTATGAGCTGAATGTTCTCCGCACGAGGGGGCCAAGAAGAATGAACTGCATCATGACCTCGATACCTGTCTCAGCTGTTCAGGAAGGGGGCAATGCTCCAACTCCTACATCTTTTCCTCAAATTACTGATGAACATTTTTGTTCTGCACCAGCACCAAAAGGTAAAGGTCCAATTGGAGATTTAAGCAACTCAACCTTCTCAGAGATGCTGCCGGTACAGAGCAAAGGTCCAATTGATTCTCTGGTACTTAAAAACAAGTCTCCCAGATGGCATGAACAGCTGCAATGCTGGTGCCTAAACTTCAAGGGCCGTGTTACGGTGGCTTCGGTTAAGAACTTTCAACTTGTGGCTGCTGTTGAGCCATCCCATAATGTTTCTGCCGCAGAGCAAGAAAAGGTTATCTTGCAGTTTGGAAAAATTGGAAAAGATATATTTACCATGGATTACCGTTATCCACTCTCTGCCTTCCAAGCCTTTGCAATATGCTTGAGCAGCTTTGATACAAAACCAGCCTGTGAATGAGACCCATGCCACTGGGTCATTGTCTGTTGGTTTTTCTCTGCGCATATATGTATAATTTGCTAGACACAGCATGGTGAGATGCAAGCTGACTAATGCAGTCATTAGTATTTCCCCTTTATGTTAGTTGTTGTATCTGTAATTTTAACCTTCATGTTGTTTCATAGCCCTGCAACTAAAATTATGTTAGTTATTGTATCTGTAATTTTAACCTTCATTGTTGTTTCATAGTCCTGCAATTAATTTATGTTAGTTGATGTATCTGTAATTTTAACCTTTATGATGTTTCATATCCCTGCAACTAAATTTAAGTTTATTGAATTTTCAATCTTGTGATATACGGTGGCATGATATTTCTCACCAATGGATCACTTTTTTTCTTTTTGTAGTGTATTTTTAGTTTTAGATTCTCTTTTATTGTGATCTCCGTTTTATACTATCCTTTCGACTAGTAATTTTCTAATTCTGATTCCCTTCGGTAAGGAATGATTGCAGTTGCATAAATTTTGGCAATTTGAGATTGAATGACACTAACGTGGAATTTTTGAATCAATAATAAAATAGAGTTTGCTGAATAGGAATGATAAGTTGCTGACAGAGAATAGAGCTTGCTACAAGCCAGTAGGTTTGGAGAAGAAACACCTTTCTCAGTCTTGTGGGTGCTGCTGTTGCTGTAAACAGCCTTCTGACCCATCTAATTTCTTCTGGTAAAGTTTCCTCTTTTTTCGCATATGATCTTGTATTGCATCTTAAAGCTCTATGCCCCTTTTCAAAAGGGTTTAGGGGATTGAACTGGAGTCTTTGGCTTCAAGTTCAATACTGCTTATGCTTAATAAACCAAATCACACTCTTCGGCTACAACAAGAATAATACTATTAACTAGCACAAATGTAGAAGTGTTTAATATATATACAATAAGAATAAAACAAAAACCATAGTATGTTGACAGGAAAAGGGAAAAAAGAAAATTATCAACTATACTATCAATTAACAAGCCCTACTGTTATAGTGCCTACTATAAACATAGCACTCCTATATATTACAATTACAAAACCTGCTGTTTCAGTGCAAAATTAAGCACATTGTGAATGAATATTTAGTGCTAAAAATGCTACAAGTTGAGATTAATGGCTAACAAAGGCAAAACTTATATATTACACATCTATAAAGATTGAGGCACCATATATAAATTATATCTGCTAGCCATCAATCCAAAATGGTTCTTATAAGCATGTGATATGTACTCCCCACAATAGTATCACAAGGATTTTGAGAAATCCATGTTCACCTTTTGGTTTTTGATGCATGTGAACTAGGTTTTGAGAACAATCCTAGTTTTTTCAGAGTTTGTGATCTTTTTGATGATCTTTTTGGTGATCTATTTCCTTCTGTGTGACTGTTGGAATCTTCAAAAGTGCTGTTGGTAATTGGTTGAGAGGACCTGTTATTTTCATTCTCAACATACTTTGCATCTCTCAAAAGATGAAGCAATTCCAAGGCACTTTCTTTTCCTTTATCATTTCCATTCTGTGATATATAGAAAAGGGGAGCAATAATCTCTTCATCCAAAATCACCTTACAATAATCAACACTTTTAGAGCATGAACATAGAGATAGAAGAACAGAAAGTGCATGTTCTTGCTCCTCATTACTTCCAGACTCGAGTATTTCAGCAATAAAACCTATGCATCCCTTTGTTTCTGCAATTGAATTTATACCCTCTTCTGTGTCACAGATGTTTTTCAATATGTATATGCAGTATCTCAAAACGGCTCTATCTTTAAAAAATGGAAGCAATTTTTGGATGCAATTCAGAGATAACATGTGTGGACAAAGTTCACTATTGAAGGAAAAATTGTATAATATTCTTATAGCTCGTTGTTGGAACTCTTTATTTTCAGAATCAAGTAACTTTATGACAGAAGTGAGTGCACTTGATGCTGCAATTTTGGCTTTGCTATTTCTATCCCCAGACAGTTCTTCCATTATGGCAAGTACGTCTCCTATCACTTCTGAATTAAGAAGACTTGCCAACATGATGAATGTATCTTCACTTAAATTATCCATACCATTTCTGCATGAAAATTACACACAAAAAAGTGTCATTTTAATATCAATAGCAGATGCTAAGATAAAAGCCAATCAAGCAATCAAATTTTCAGGTCTGCAAGAAATCATACCTGCAGCTGTTCACAAATTCCGACAGAAGCTGAGTTCCAGATCTCAGTGCTTTTACGTCTTGCAGATCATTTGCATTGCTCAAAAATCTGACTAGTGGTTCAACTAAATTTTCAGCTGACACGGACGAAATAGCTTGGCTATTGCTTTTCAAATGATCTTTCAAATCTTCAATGACCTTACATTGAGAATCCCATTGAAGATCAAGAAGTTTAGGCAAGAGCATCAAATCTGTATCATGTATCTCTGGTGCATGACCTCCATGCTTGTGAGAGTCTTCGCTAGCCTTGCTCATCATCAAATTCAAGCCATGATTGGTCTTACCTTGTGACGCATCTGAGTTAAAACTAGTATCCAATGATCCAAGTGACATGATACTAAGATCCAGTGGCAAGTTCAAATCATTGAAATAACTTCCTAAACTCTTAATGGAGGTGATTGAAGCATCCAACAACTGAAAATCTTCTGTGTGTCTACTTGGATCAGGAATGGAAACACCATTATTTTTGCACCACTTTGATATTAAGGCCTTCATGGCAACATTTGGAGTCAATGTCATATGAGGTAGTTCATCTTCTGTTTTTGGACATGTAGTTTTACCCTCATTAAACCACTTTTTTATCCACATTCTTTCATATGTTACTCCAGAAGCAATGATAACAGGATCATACATCAATCTTGAGGATAATGGACACTTATATTCCTCAGGTGGCATCCCTGTATCCAACTCACCGGTGTGAGTTCTATACTGATCATATTCTGAGCTAGGATCCAGTTCAACACGACGACTTTGTAGTGAATGGCGACTAGAGTTATTATCCTTTGCAGTCGGTTCTTTGCTACTAGAATAAAACTTCTCCATGTGTTCTCCCACCACCATGGATTTTCCATGTTTTTTCAATAGATACATAAGATATTTCAAGATTGATTTCTTTTTCTGGTCATTTGGTCCAATTTTACCTAGCAACTTATTAATAGACCGTCCCTCGACTAACAAGGCCCTTTGTGATGTTATGTTCAGTCTCGGTGCTGCAAACTGAAGAGCTTTAAGTTCAAAATCTTCCACCAAATCCAAGTTCGAAGTACCTTGCTGAAGCAACTCTGTTAAAACTTTCCCAGCCTCTTCTTCAGCAGAGTCCAAAACAAATGTAGCACGCCCAAGATCATCAATTATTCTAGAAACCTGCACATCACATTTCAACCCCAATTAGATATTAAAGATGGAGACCCTTTGTGTAATATTACACAACAGGAAATATAAAACTCAGTTTGAAGAAAACATTGACTAACCTCTACAGCCAACACAACTGGAACCATATCCTGAATGGGAATTAAGCTTTGTTCTAATGACTTTTTTGCTCTTTGGCATCTTGAAAGTACTGTATCTCCTGTCACTGCCTGAAAGTAATATTAATACAGACAATGTTAATAAATAGTGATCATATTTAGCTTACTTGTTAAGTAAGTTATATTATTGAGATATGCTTTAGAGAAGAAAAAACACACACCAGGTAGAGTTTGCTACATTCAGAGCAATGTTGTAAAAGTAGTTTGGATTTCTCAATTGCTTTGTTCAGATAAACCAGAGATTCTATTCCTGATGAACATCTTGGTCGTGCATCCTCTATGTCTGGAAATATCCTCATGATATCATCCAATATTCTCATCAATTCCATGCATATTTCACTATGTACCTGTTAATAGAAAATCCTTAGTTCCAACTCTAACACCTATGATAAACATAATAGTGAAATCCAATGTTATTTATTTATATATGTACCTGAAAGGATCTTGGTAAAGTCTCCACTATTTCACCACTAGTAGTTCTCATCAAAAGGAGTAGTATCCTTCAGCTACATATCAGACAAGCAGCATAACATAACAGATTTGTGAATCTCTGACTATAATGAAAGAGAAAAATCCACTAGAGAAAGACAAAGTTATTTTGGAATATTCTAGATAATAAAATAAAACAAAAACAATTTTCATCACCTAAATCTAAATTATGAAGCTAGAATAGAAGCAGTCAACTTTCAATATAGTACATCTTTGAACATAAAACTATTATATCTTATTTTATTATGAAGTTAGAGTAGAATCACTGTAATTTCATCAAACTCAGAAATTTCAAACATAATATGAAGCTAGTAATAGAAGGTTTAAGAGTAAGGAGAATGAATAATTACCTAAAATTATGGTAGTAATTAAGTAACTTGTTCCTGTGGCTAATATTAAAGAAGCAATTCGAACTAGATTAGTATTGAAGAAGCACCAAATCAGTTTGTATAGATGAGCAAAGGGAACAATGTAAAAAAGTGATATATTTGAGAGCTCATAATAATCAGTATTGTGCAAGAGAGAGAGAGAGAGAGAGAGAGAGAGAGAGAGAGAGAGAGAGAGAATAGAGGGAGAATGATGTTATAGTGAAAAGAAAGGAAGCATGGGAATGAAAAGGATAATGAATGGTTTGTATGTGGTGGCGGGGTTTCAAGGAAAGAGAGTCTAGTCAACGTGTTGGGATTTTGTATGACCAAGTCGACCAAACTAGAAACAAAACAAACTAACCTTATTATTTGTTGCGGCTTTCTTTGTCTGCCACTATGAAATATAATTTGGTTATAGAAATTTACTCATTGAAACGTCAAAGAAGAAACACTCTCAATAATAAAAATGAAAAACTCACTTCCAACGTAGAACTACTTTATCATCATCAAACATCTAAGTGCTATTGTGTTCCTATATCTTGATTGTGTTATAAGCATTCACATTTATCATGAAAGATATGTAATATAGTTACTAATTTAACTTTATTTGAATTGTCATTC